GAAGATAAAGAAAAGGATTTGTCAGAGTGCTAGGCTGCAGCTTAAATTCTTGTACATTATTTTCCTTGTACATTGTTGTATATAGATTGTCTTAATTAAAGATTATTATATATGAAGATATGTTTAATTTTTTTATTACCGGTTGCTGACAAAGAAATTAGAAAAATATTTTCTTAGCTTGACTAGAGTTTCGATATACAAGACTTTTTAGCGCTGCTAAGACACTGAAGAAAATAAAGACATTTTGTTCAATGAAAAGAAATACTCATTTTATCTCAAACAATAGGGTATATTTACCCATTCCTTTTATACTTCCTTGAACTTCTGAAGAATGGTGTATACAAATAAATTGATTTTCAACTAAAGAAATCTCAAAAAAGGTTTATTCCAGTTTCGTTACTCTTAAGATTAAATCACATAAATCGTTAAAAAAGATCTTGAGAATCAGATTTGGGAACCAAATATGGATTGGAAAAAGGTATGTCTATTTTGATCAGTTCCTTAAAAGTGTAAACAACAACCATATTATGCCTGTCCATTTGCGTTGAATTAATGAAGTCTTCAATTTGCCACAATTGAGCCCAAAATCTCTGTTGGGAAGCAAGAGGGTTTTGAAGTGAGTGTTTTGGCTTCATTTTGGGACCTTGCCACAGTTGCTAAATGAATCACCACAGTTGTTAAAATAGTAACGGTTGTTAAGTGAATCTGGCTTCTCTGTTGACTTTGCTTGTCAGAAATTCACAAAAGGTGATCACATGACCCCGGGGGACACTGCAACCTTCAGTAAGTATGAACCAGATGCCAAGCATCTGAATTTTAATCATATGACCATGGGTATGATGCTACTATACAGGTGTGAAAAATGGTCATAAGTCATCTTTTTTTCAGTGCCATTGTAGCAAGTCAAAGACTACCTGTACATTGAAAAGAATGTGTAGGCTGAATATCCAAGGTTCTTTTTCCTTCTGGGTTAGTGTAGTATATATACTGAAATTTCTAAAATTACATACATATCAGTAATGACTGGATTTCCTACAATTCATTAAAGATACTCTCTTCCATAATAGAAAGCTTGTTTTGTCCTTGGCAGTTAGTATGTGTGTAAAGTAGAGGCTTCAAACAATGACAGGTTCTATTCACAATGTATCTAATAGCTTATATGATGAGTTTATGTTAACTCATCCATAACAGTTCTTCCCTCTTTAGTTGACTGTCTTGGGGGAAAAAAATCTGTCTAAATATTGAGGTTTGTTATTTGTGTTTTTAAGAGTGATTTTCATTTTGTAATTTAAGATTTCCTACTTAACCTTTTAGATTAAATAAAATAGAAAGACACATTTTTCTACCGATGGCTCCTCTTCTGATGTTTACTTAAAATAAACTTGACTCAACAACAAAATTTTATTATATAAACTTTATACTTTATTATGCACATGTTATTACATAGAATATGATTTGCAAGCTCGGATGGCTCTATTGCTTCCTGCTAATTGTAACAAGTTTATCTCATATATACTATACAATAAACTACAGAAAAATTGTATTGCTATCAAGTCAGTGGCTGCTTATAATCTGGTAGATTTTCAAAATATAAGTTTTCACACTTCCTTCAACATTTGAATCTCTGGATTCTGCTGAGGTTTTTATCACGTGTATTGCTATTACAGAGTACAGGAAAAAATGTAACATTTTTGTTCTTTATGATGTAAAAACCACCCAGAGTTACTTAGTGAAATGGACAGGATATAAATTTAAGAAATAAAAAAAAAATTACAGACAAGGTTAAGGTTATTTCTGTTTAGATTGGGTGCAGATCTCACTATCCATTCAAACTACGATTATACCTAAATCCATCCAATGCATACTTCTAAGTTGATGATTCCATACCATCTCAAACAAGTAAACATGACAAGTAAATCACATAATATCTAATATACCTGTCAAGGTTAGAAAGTTGTAACAATCAGCTGTCAGTTTTTCAATATAGGATTTTGCAGGCCATCTACTGCAAGGATGTCAAACTTGCGTTCTGTGGGCCAGGTGCATCATGCGCTTGCCATGCCCATGCCTGGTTTAGTGAAGAGGGAAAACGTCATGATATATCATGTGACACCGCCGTGATGATGCGAGTTTGACAGCACTGATCTACTGTTTGGGCCCATTGGAAAGGACTAAGAAAATAGAAATGGATAGAAATGGACCCAGAGTATAGAACTAAAAAAAACAATAGCTGATTTTTTTCAGTAAATGTTTATTTTGATCTGCCCATCACTCTGATGTTCTGCCGAACTTGGGTAAAACCTTCCTGGAAACCTCAAATTCCATTGCAGATCCTCAGTCTCAGTTTGAGAAATGCTGCCTCAGTAACTCTTCAGATGTTTGCTAGGAAATACATCTGAAAAATCCATCTTTCTCTTGGAATCCGTGAACTGCAGAGCTACAGCCAATTTATTTCAGAGTCAATGGTCAACTATGGGGAACTCCCAGCCTACTGATTACTCAAGCTTTCCACTCTTACATTTAAAAAAAAGCACTTGGGAGAGCTAGTTTATTTATATGCCACCCAATCTCGCTATCCAAAGTGACTCTGGATGGCTCATGGTTTAGAACATTCACCAGAAAACTAATGACTGATCATAATTTACCAATCCTTCCAGAGATGCCTCGGTTTTATGTTTTAATCATGTATAAATAAAACCTGGACTTCTGGTGGTTTCCAGCACAAAGCATGCTGTGAAACAAGAATAAAAGAGGGAAACACTATAAAGCCCCAGAAGCAACACAGAGACAACCACTCCAGTGATGGGATTCAAAAATGTTTACTACTGGTGTGGCTTAGCGGGCATGGTGTGGCTTGATGGGAGTTACTTGGTGGGCATGGCAGGGGAAGGATACTGTAAAATCCCCATTCCCTTCCCACTCCTGGGGGAAGGCTACTGCAAAATCTCCATTCCGTCCCCACCCCATTAACCTGATTTCCAGCTCTGTTCTCCTGTGCAGGGTAACAAAAGAAGACCCAGCCAATCAGCTGGGACTCGGGAGGCAGCGAATAGATGAGAGCGGGGCCAGTTGGTATTTGCCAGTTCTCCGAACTATTCAAAATTTCTGCTACCAGTTCTCCAGAACTGGTCAGAAGCTGCTGAATACCACCTCTGAACTGCTCAGTTGGTACCCATCAAGAAAGAAGGGCTTTTTTCTAACACTTTTGTTTCACTCACAAAATCAAAAACCATTTCTACTCCATAAAGAAAAAAGTAAGAATTAGATTTATCTTCATTGTGAGAACCGATTAAATCACTTTCTTTACTCTGTAACTGAGCCTTTAATTAGGTGGTGATGCCCAGCTTGAACTACCAGAACTGAGCCCCATTTAGTGAATGAAAAACTATCCAGTTCAAGCTAGAAAAATGAAATATCACATCTACAGCAATACTCCCTGCTTGTTTCCTGTTTGAAACAAAAATATTCCTACAATGCCAGAGGATTCATGTAAAGTAATTAGTAATTAGGCAGTAATGCAGTGTTTATTATTGGGTTGTCATTCTCATTTAGAAGTCCCCACAGAGGAACTTCAAAGTCTTACTATTGCTTTAAAATAATTCTGGATATGCCTAGAACAGGGGTATCAAACTGGCGGCACCCAGTCCAGATGGGTCACATGCAGCCACGCCCACTCCACATCCACAAAGGGAAACATGTCGGGATATGTCATGTGATGGAAATGTGATGTGGCAAGTTTGACACCCGTGGCCTAGAACAAGACCGCAAAAGGTAAGTATGCATCAGTGAAGTACTTGTTGTCTACAACAAACCAGCAAGAATTTCAAGCTCTTTATGATTTAATACTACCAAACAAACACAATCAAGAACAAAGAAGTACTGCAAGATTGGAGGATGTGAAGAAATCTGGCCCATAGAGTTGCCAAGAGTTGGACACGACTGAATGGATAACATCATTGTCATCATTGTCATCATGCACAACAGGATTTGAGTGCAAGCTTAAGCTCTCTGCCCATTTTTTTTTAAGTTTATGTGCCCGACTGAATCACTATTTTGCTGGTGGGAAGTTAATAAACCTCAGAATTCCAGTGAAAAAGTAAAATAGAACCCACAAGCTTAATGTCTACCCACAACTCTGTTTTAAGACAAAATTCCTCGCTTGCTATTGTCTGTACAAAGAAACTTATTTTCTCATTAAGGAAAACAATGAGTCATGGAAAGCTTATATGCCATGACTCACTGATTTCTACACTGAGGAATCCATTATTTTCCCTGCAAAATTTCACAGTTCCTCAGGATATGGATATGGATATAGATATGGATATATATATATATACATATACATATACATACACATACACATACACATACATACATACATACATACATACATACATATACATACATATATATATTCTTAAGTTTTCATGGGTATTTATATGTATGGTATTCAGTTTTGTTTGGATATTTTCCCACGTCATTATAGTTGTGCTTTTAAAATTGTAGTGATGTTTCCAAAGATAAAATTGACCTAGAAAACCAAGGCATATATGAAGTCCCCTGCGCATCATGCCCTGCCACATAATTGGATAGACCAATAGAAGAATAAGTACCCGCCTGGATGAACACAAACATGCAGTAAAAAAGCTGGAACACACTTCCTTACTAGTCCAACACTGAAACACTGAATAACTGAAAAACTTAATCACAAGCAATTAGTACAAAAGAGATATCCAAAATTTCCATATACCTTTGCAATACACAATGGAAAAATGATATTGTGCTCATTAACTTAAATTTTAGTGTCTGGAAATCTTTAGAGTATCTTTTAAAAGGCAGCATATGAATATATAACTATGTCTTGCCATTTGGAAACAATAGGTGAAGGAGGTAGGGAGAAAGAGAGAGTCCAGGGAGGCAGGGAGGGAGAGAGAGAAAGAGAGAATTATTATATATGTTTTACAGTAGATGTATACAACTTCTGCCTCCCGAAGCTTTGTACAAGTGATACATTCCAAAGTGGAGGATGTCAGGCCCTGTATATTGGTGATTTCAGGGGTTTTAAGAAATAAAATTTATGTCTGAATTCTGGAAAAAAATTAAAATAAACATTTTGCCCTTTACCGTGAAATGTAAAAAATTAAACAGATAAGAACATATACTATATTTGATCTTAGCCAAAAGGCCGAGAGAAGTGTCGAGGAAGCCTGGTGGTTCAGTGGTTAGAATGCAGTGTTGCAGGCTAACTCTGCCCAGAGCTTGGAGTTCAATCCTGACTGGCTCAAGGTTGACTGAGTCTTCCATCCTTCTGAGGTCAGTAAAATGAGGACTCATTGTTGGGGGCAATATGCTGATACAGTAAACCACTTAGAGAGGGCTGTAAAGCCATGTGAAGCAGTATATAAGTGCTATTACTATTGCTATTTGTAAACTGCTCAGATATTGCTTTAAAGCACTGTGGTGCAGTATATAAGTCTAAGTGCTATTGCTATTGGTTAAAATGCAAAAAGGAGGAGAAATGTATTGGCCACACATACACTGGAAGACTGTGGCAATATTGCCAATTTTTCTGAATTCCTGGTCTAGAGTCAGGGATCATCCAGGATATGAGGTGTAAGTGGACATTGAGAAACTTTTTCTCAAAACAATAGGAAAAATGACCATCTGAAAATTGATTGGAAGATCTAGGAAACAAAAGGACATTTTTCACACAACATGTAATTATTCTGTAGAGCTGTTGGCCATTTATCTGGAAGCAGTGGTGGGATTCAAATGTTTTTACTACCAGTTTTGTGGGTGTGGCTTTGGCAGGGAAAGGAGACTATAAAATCTCCAGTCAGAGGTGGTATTTGCTGGTTCTGCAAACTACTCAAAATTT